CTTTAAAGCTCTCAAACATTCAAACCCCCCAAACTCTCAAACACTCGAGAAGACTCGGAGAACCCTCTACATTCTTCATCAAACCCCTACACATGCTAGTTCTACCATCGCCACAAGCCAAATCATTGTGGCAATCGTTCGTTCGAGATTAAGTCATCGCAACTCTTGGATCTGTAGCACTACACACCTTACATTTCGAAGATCGAATTAGATGATCAAGTTTGTAAAGTGATTGTAACCCTAAACTCATTAATATAATACATTTACTTTGTACACGTATTCTTGTTTCATTTACTACAAAAAAAAAATTCATGTTTACAGTACATTTTAAAGGAAAACTGCAAATAGAAACCAAATGAAAAAAAATGCTGGTTTAAATTTACATCTTTAGGAAGTAAAGTTGCTTAAAAATTCTGCACCATGATGCTGCGTTTTTAAGATCCTCCGCGTCTCAATAGGTTTGTTTTCTGAAGGTTATTTGGAAGACTTGGAAACATGAGCCCATGAGTAAAACATGTCCAGTTGGTTTGAGCTTTGATTAATGTGTAGCATGCACGGGAATGTCAGCCCATGACCGAACTATGATGTTACGAGTGACTTAGCTCATGATCTCAAGAACAAAAGATGAGATCACGATCCCATTGCATGGTTTATTTCATGAAGAGTTAAACATGGCTGCCTGCCGACGAGAATTCTTTAGAGCATCTAGTTCAATGGAGATGTCAAATTAAAATATCAAATTTTACTTTTATAACTGATGTAGCAAAGTAAAATTTTATAAAGTCTCATCATATTCCAATTAGGATGTCGAACTTATATGCGTTTTGATTATTTATAAAATCATGAGTCAGAATTCAATAATAAAATAATTATTAAGTGAAGACAATTAAAGAAATATGTGGGCACATCATTAAAAAAAATTGGAATTGGAAGAGGATCCTCTCCGGATCCACTTTGTGAGGATCCTAGAGATCTCCACATCCTAGCCGTTCAACGTATATCGTGCAGCTACTTTTCGTTAGATACTATTTGTGTTCAGTTTTAAATAAAAAAAAAAAGTCAAATGATTTATGGCCACACAATACATGATGAATAGCTAAGATGCTAGGATCCCCACAAAATGGATCCGGATGGGATCCTATTCCATTGGAATTACCTTCAAATTTGACGGTAAAGTAGAGAATGTCAATCCATGTAAGATGTAACAACCCATCTCGAATTTATTTACGGATTTTGGAACGAGGGCAATTTAGTCTTTTCACGCATAAAAGATATTTTGGGATGTTGTTTTCGGGTCTTAAATGGTGAGCCGGTGGGGCCCACTATCTTTTTGGTCACGTGGCCTCTTTTTTTCCTTGCCTGCCCCATGTCACCTCCCCTCCTAAAAGCTCTCAGATCTCTCTTTCCCTTCACAGCTCACACACTTTCTCTCTCCCACCTTACATGCACGACACACAAGTAACAACAACGACGACGGCAACACCACCAACATCTAAACCTCGCAGTCTTGTCCCTAGGCCTAAACTATGGAGCTCCGGCAGTGGCGGAGTTCACTATTTTGGGTTCTCCCCAACGAACTCCTGGCGAGTTCTCTATTTTTCCCGACGCGGGGTAAGCTTCAGGATACCTTAGATCCTTACCTTTCATCATTGTAGTTTAGTTTGTAACCTAAGTTTGCCTTGTGAACCACGGAATCACATAGGAACGAAGAATGTTTTGAAACACAGATTCCGGCGAGAATGCCGTGACTTCCAAGCCTTTTTCTGGCCAACTTCGGCCACCTTTCGACTTTTCATCGGTACATCTTCCTTGTTCCTTAGGCTTCATTTTGATATATTGCATGATAGGTTTTAGGTGGGTTTTGGGGTTGAACAAAGCTGGAAAGGCTTTGGCTTCATTCTTCCTCGAAATGGACAACCCGACCTGGAAATGGGTCAAACCTGACCCGCAGAGCCCAGCTCAATCCCCTAATCCGGCTCAAACCTTGGGCCTATGTAACCAAGCCTAATTCACTTAGCCCAAATCAATATTGGCCTAAACCTTTAGGCAGGGCTACCAAGCCCAAACCTAGTTGCCCAGGCCCAACCTTGCGGCCCAAAACCCTTGGCCCAACCTAGAACCTAGAACCTTGGCCAGCGTGTGGGTCCGTGCGTGGACCTGCGTGTGGGTGCTCGTGAACGCTATCTTGGTCGGCGTGTGGAGCACACGCACCTCCACCAGAGGTACTGTGCTCCGTCGCCATCCATAGAGGCATCAGCGACTTTTCCTGCCAAATTTCTGGCGACCCAAATCAACGCGTGGCTGTCCGAGCAGCCGCCCCGTGACTGCACGTGAGGGAGTGTGCGGCGGCGAGTGGGGGTACCCGAGGTCCCCCTTTATGTTTTTCAACGTCCTGAATTTGTTTATGACTTCTGTTTCCCGAAATTCAACCGTTTTAGTATAGTTTTATTAATTGGTCCCTTTATGTGCTTAGGTGCGTTTGTTAGTGGCGTTTCCGTCTTCTTTATTTTGCACGGCTCTTCGACGACAGAATAAGGTGAGTAGACCCCTTCCAAAATGCATATTTTACTATTAGAAATGCATACATGAAAAGCATAATTTAATGGCTACGTTTTATGAAACATTTATGAGTAAACTAGATTTACGCTTTATGAAATATCATGCTTTATCGACATTACGTTCTTTGAAGTATATATGATTTATAATTATATACTTTGAACATGATTTATGATATGATGTTTGAGCTATTGAGCTCTGATGAGATATACATATATTTTAGAAATATTATGTTATGTTTTTATGTGCTTATTTAGTGGTTACTCATATGATCTACATATGGGAGAATGATACTGCCTACGGGCGAATGATATCATTATATGGCTTCGGTCGGGTGATGTAAGGCCTACGAGTGAATGATATTGCCTTCTGGCAATTTTGATACCACTACTAAGCACACTATATATAATATATGTTTTATGAAGTTTTATGGCATGATAGGGTTTTCGGAAAACCTATTACATACTATGCTATTGAATTTTAATAAACTTTGGGGGATAGTACGTTGTTGAATAACTGTTTTAGTATTACTTACATATAAACTTGGTCCACTCATGTTTTGTTTTGCACCCCCTCAGGACTTAGAATCAAGGCGTACAATTTCAGCGTCAAGGCACTCCTGCATCAGCATCTTCGAGTCCTCTCGGTGTAGGACCCATCCCTTTTGTTCATTCAATTTTATATTATTCCTTTTTAGTGTCTCGGATTAGTTGTATGCTCTGAACACGTTCCACAATTGCATCTTCATTATAATTAAATTTACAATTTTTATTTATGTCGGTTATTCGTTTTTAGTTCTCATGCATCCTAATATGGCTTCGTCACCTTCGAGAGTTGGTCAGCATGTGTCTACCGTGATATTTGGAGAATATTAGGGTCAGGCGTGTCATAAGATTTTGACATCTCCTTTAAATCAGAAAATCACTTTTTTTTTCTTTGTCAAAAACATTAGCATACTGAAGATAGTGAAGAAAGTTCAGTTTCCATCATAAAATAAATTGATAATATGGGAAGTAGCCCAACTCCTTTCTCAATATGGCTCATCACGTGTGTCAAAATTCAAGCCTACTACATGGAACACAACGAGGTGATGTGGAGTGGAACACAATGGGGGTTGATGTGGAGTGGAACACAATGGGGGGTGATGTGAAGTGGAACATAATGAGATGATGTGGAGTGCGTGTGACCGTTTGGTTTTACATATAGGACAACCTGCTATGATACTGTGAAAAAAGTTGAGGTTCCACTATAAAACTAATTGGCAATATAGGGAATAGCCAAACTCTTTATAAGCCAATACAAAGTCTTTCCTCCGTCAATGTGGAATTCATTCTCAACAAGAAGGCCTTTCTCATCATGCTTTAACAACCCAAAAGTTGTGGATATTTGAGTTAACATTCGGTTTTTTTTTTAGAAATATTTATATTTTTAAATATTGTATATTGTTTGTTATATTTGTATTGAAACTAAATTGCATGATTGTGCTTGGTTTGATGCTGTATTTATAATGTGAGGGTGAGTACTTTGACTCACCCTACTAACCCTTATTAACATACCCAACAAATGAGCAAGTGTCACAACATTTTGTATTTCCTTTGGTCGAGCTCACAACATTGTGTTTTGAGGCTTATTTTGTTTGAGGTCAAAAAATATTTTTAAGTTTCAGAATTAATTCAAACACTTTTACTTAAAGAAAATGAAGTATTGACCTTAACTGAGGGGAAAAATTGTTTGTATTGACATGTTTTAAAAAATGAAATATCCATCAATCTATGTCAAAATACGAAATTATTTGTTAACTTAAGTCAAAATCCACAATTTCCAAACGTTGGCTTATGGAGATTGCTTCTTTTACAGTTCAATTGAGATTCGTTGTTGCACACGTCTTTGATTTACTATCAAAGTTTTAACGAACATCGTTATTTTATCAAAAGAAAATTTCAAACGTCGGCCAAGCAAGTTGCTAGTTGGCCAAAACAACGTACTCGCCCCCTACACTTGATTTTGATACGTTGCTCGAGGGATCACAATAGTTTAGAATTAGACTATTGCCTTGTGAAAAAAAAAAAGCAATTCTTCGTGTTTCAATGTTAGAACCTCACCCAGTACAATTCAATTAGGTCACCACTCGATAGTTGGTCAGAGACCCAGAGCAGCGTGTGCCCAAACAATCTTACCTAAGTGGTTCACATATAGATAGAGATTAGGCCCAATCCTCAAATGTTTGTATAGTGGGCTGTATGAGAACAGAGAAACCCAAACCGAGTAGAACTTGCCCCGAACCATTCCCTGTTGCAGGTAGTGACTACCGGTACAAGTGCAAAGTGCGTCTTCTAGTTAGCCTACAGCAGCAGCCATATTTCACTCGTTATATAAATTTATGTTATCGCCTACTTGGCTTCTGCCTCTGGCTGTCTTCTTCTCTGCATCCCCCATCTCTCTCTCTCCCTCTCTCTCTCTCTCTCTCTCTCCCCTCCTCTCTCTCTCCATCTCTCTCTGTGGTTGTCTCTCCAGGCTTTAGACCTCCCTCTTCCTCCTCCCCCTCTTCTCTCTCCCTCTTTCTCTAGCTTCCCCTTGGATTTTCGTGCCATTGTTGATGAACAAATCCTCGGAAACAAACCATTGATTTCTGATAACAATTTGACTCGATTCTTCATTTGGGTTGTATCCAGAAACAGGTGTTAATGCTGTGAGTTGTTAATCCGAGAGGTCGAGTTCTTCAGCGGACGATGATGAGGTCTGCCTGCTGCTCCTCCCTTTTCATGTTTCTTGGTTTTTGTTTTGCTTGATTGGTGTGCGATTCTCAACGAATTAGTCCGAGCCATCGATTGGTTTTGTTGGCTGGTTGGTTCTTGGGATCGGATTTCATCATTTCTTCCTGTTTCCGTAACTTTATTTTCTTTCAATTTTCTGAACAATCGTTCGTCTACTGGATGAGAGATCTTCTTCTCTCTCTGATTTTTCCACTTGGGTCTGTGAATCAGTTTCTGGGTCCAATCGGATTCCGTTGCTGAAGCAGAAATGCTTCAGCTTCCGCAGATAACAGAGCTCCGATTCTTCAGATTCAGCTCTCTGTTGTCAGCTGCAGAAAAATGGTATTTGAAAACTGGTTTCGATTTTGAATCACTCACCAACATTCAAACCAATCTCACTACAACCCAGCTTCTGTTGACCAATTCCGATTCTCCGTTTTCAATCAGATTGCAAAATTGTTTCCAAAAATTTCAGCTAAGATCTTGAGTTTTGTCATCTCTTCAGTAAAACACCTAATCCAACCCAGAAATTTGATCTCGGAAGCAGAAATTCTGAGTTCGTTTTATTTGTTTCCTTCTCAATTCGTACACATTGACGTCGATTTGTTCTTCGATTTTATGAAATCAGCTGCAGAAACGAATTTGCATTTGGATTTCTCTAATGGGTTGTTCTTGAATTTTGTTTTTTTCCAGGTACCAGAGAGTGAGCCCAGATTGCGTTCCTCTGAGCAATGGCAAGAAACCAACCATGAGAGCCATATCCAAAGACGATGGGATTGCAGACACCGTGACAACAAACAGTACAGTCACATCTCTAGAACCCACCAAACCCTTCAGATTCCGATCCCAACCCACGCCTCAAGACCCGACCCAATCCCAATTCGGAGCCCGACCCACTTCCCCAAACGGTGAAATCCACCATCAGACCCAGCAGCGGCAGGACAAGAGTCCCAGCCGGACTCCCAGTCCAATCCGCGGCGCCGGCGATGTGCTGCTGCAGTGGGGCCAGAGAAAGAGGTCGAGAGTCTCCAGGACCGAGATCCGAGCTGTCACCGATGAGTCCTCTTCGTCGGCTCAAGCGAGGCAAGCTTCGAAGCTGCAGAGGAGAGACAAGTCCATGTCGCCGCCTCCTCCTCCGCCGCCCCTTCCGTCTTCTTCCTCCGCTACGTCGTCGTTTTCCAATGGCAGCAGACTGAGAAAGGAAGGCTCCGGGTCGCTTCCTAGCAGGTACCCTTTACCTACCTTCCAACGCCTTTCATTATTTTGTTTTTCTGTCTTTCCTTTTTTCTCCCTATGGATTGATAATATTTACCTCTTTTTTAGTATAATTTCCACTGCTCCGGATCACTCGGTAGATCTTGCATTGTCTCTGTTGTGAAAATATTTAAAGTCCGGTCCTCCAATCAAATTGGTTTTACTTTTTGGGCCACCATTTTTTCCTAATATATGCTATGATTTTATCATGGGGGTTTTCCCATTTAGGGTTTGCAGCCTGAGATTCTGTTTTTTCAGATACTGTTTAGTCCTTTGGTTCAAGATCTAAAATTTACAAACCATTTGGGTCCCTTTTGGTACAACAAACAAACCGATGTTCTTGTTCAGCTTATCCTGTTCAATCCAACTTGAAAGACCACTTTTTTTTTCTTTTATTTGACCCTTTTACCCCTGGACTACCCTCAAATTTCATTAATCGGAGACTCTCTCTCATCGAGTGGGTATCAAAAGAGAAAGAGAACAAATGGATTAGTGCTCTGTTTGGCTCCCTCTAGCTTTTTGCCTTGTTTTTTACTTTTTTTGTGGAGTGGATTTATAAGATTGTTCATTAAATTCCCCCTCATACCCTTTTGTCCTGATCTTCAAAACCCCCAAAATCTCATCACCTTCCTTGAAAATCCTCCCTCCCATTTTACCTTTTTTACCTCATTGGAATTTGCAGTATATTTTTCAGATTTTCTTGGAGATTGTGAGAGTATTTATCTAGTAAATTAGTATATAATAGAAGGTTAATCATGCTTTTTCTTCATTTAATTGGGTATTAAACCCTGTCCTTTTCTGCTGTCTGTCCCTCCGATCTGCTCTGAGAAAGTGTAGAAAAAACCCTCCACCTAATCTCTCCCACTCCCAAAAGTCCCCACCTTTTTCATCCATCTAAACCTCCCCAACTCACACATTTATTACGATCTCCTCTTCTCTTTTGCCATGACCAGGAATTTGGTGGATCGATCTGCTACCGTTAATGGGTCACCATCGAGAAACCCTGCTGGTGGCAGCAACGGCCGAGCTGCTTCCAGATCCACTGCGGGGAAACGATCTCCTCCGCCGGAGAAAAATGAGAGAAAGGTGCCAGCTTGCTCAGGCAGGTCATCAGCAGCGGCCAAAGATGACAACAAGCCAAATGGAGCTCAAGCTGATCGTGGGAATCATGCTGATTCTAGTTTGTTGCAATCGGATCAGTTGGCCGTCGGGGCAGGGGCGGATAATTCTTCCGCCGCAGCTGCAACGGCTTCCGCGGCTGCAGCGGAGAAGGTGAACTACGAAGTGGTGGAGTGGCCGAGAATTTATATTGCTCTGTCGAGGAAGGAGAAGGAAGATGATTTCCTTGCAATGAAAGGCACAAAGCTCCCTCAGAGGCCCAAAAAAAGGGCCAAAAATGTTGACAGAACTCTGCAGGTATATTAAAGTCCAAATCATTGTTCTTCAATTTTAATTTTAATTTGGGTTTAATTGAAAACAAAAACGGAACTGGATCCTCTCCTGAGTTTAGGATGGGATCGTCCTCAGCAGCTTATCCAGGCTGTTGAAATTTGATCTAACAGTTCCAAACAAATGATCTTTTCAAAAATTATAATAATTGCAGTTGTTGGATCAATGTTAAATGGCCCGAAGAGAGGATCCAGTTCCAACAAAAACTTAAATTAATTTAATTAAAATATTTTTTGGTTGTTGTTGGCAGTATTGTTTTCCAGGGATGTGGCTGTCTGACTTAACAAGGAATCGATATGAGGTCAGGGAGAAGAAATGTGTGAAGAAGGTAACATGCTTGCTCTGCTCTGCTTTTTCCTGGCTGTAATCCTCTGTCTTTTGTGTTTGATGAAATTTACTTTTACTTACCCTAATGGCATAACCTTCCCAATTTACCCACTAAATTTGAGGTCACTTTTTTATTTTTATTTTTTTTTTATTATTAAAAAGGAAAAATTAGGCTGTTTTACCGTTATCGCAATGTTTCGGTTCAATATTGCGTTGTTACGTGATGAAAAATTTAAACATGATAACGCATTAGTGGTTGTAACGTCACATGCCAGTGAACATGAACCATGTTAGTCATTCACTTTTTTGTTTAATCGACATGCTCAAAACATTGTGATTACTTGTCCTTCACTTTTTGTGGAGGGAATGATTAGGTGCTTTAAGTGGAGAATAATAATTAATAATTAACATTGTTGATTTGTTGAGCAAATGCATGTACTGTAATTAAATATCAAACGTTGATTTGTTTGTAACGTTGATTTGTTTGTAACGTCTAAATATTTGTTCTTTGTTATTCACATATATACAATGTAAGAAATAATTGTATAAAATACAAAACGTTACATAATATTTTGGTCCACTTTGTGCTGATTGGGTTGGGTTGCATATGCAGCAAAAGCGAAGGGGACTCAAGGGAATGGACAGCGTCGACAGTGATTCCGAGTAGCAAGCTTTTTATTTTTATTCCAAAAATTGTATAATTTATCCAAAAAAATTATAGAAAAGAAAAAAAAAAAAAAAACGCTGGAAGTCAGGGTGGGTGGGGGTCGGGGCCCCACTGGCCGAGTCGTTTCACGGCCTTTTCGTAGTCCACCTGCCCTTGCTTTGTAGGACACAGTGTTCTCGCCGTCGATGTCGATGATAATGGGTTTTGTTTTGAGGATCAACGGCTGAGATGTTCTTGGGGGTTTCAAGGGTAGTTGTGAGATTTTGGATTTTGGGGTGGGGGCATTTTGGTCAGCAGATGTCACGGACCGAGAGGTGGATGTACAGGGGTTATTAAAGGGGAGCTTTCATCCTCATGACTCGGTCTGTGTACGTCAGCCAACTCGGCAATTTAGATAAAATATATAACTAGAATTTTCTCCTTTTTTTTTTTTCGAAGGTGGCTTTTATTATTATTGTTTTAATTTGTTTTCTTCTAGTTTATTGGTATCTGTCATGTCATCGAGTAACTAATGTTGGCTGTGCATTCCTTTTGGTGTTTTTTCATGCTAATCTCGTGTACAAAGCTGCTTTGCTTCTGCAGTTCCCCTCCCATCAATGACAAAGCTGTTTCACTTTTCCATTTTGTTTTTCTTTCCTTGTAAGTACAAAATTTTCCTACGTTGTGTTTGGCATGCACCCGATGAATAAAACGTTGTATGGCATGCACACACTATCATTTTAGTTCTGGTAGTCATATGATGAGAGAGATAGACTCGTTAGTGTGCACTCCTTGGCCTCGTGTTGAGATGATATGGGTTTTTGCTTCATTGAAACTCGTATCATGGAGTTTGACTTAGTTACGTCTAGGTCTACAATACGAAGTCTGTTTTATTCTGACATAGTGTAAACGCGTAAAATACAATTAATACATTAGTGGTGGTGGGATGTTTGTGTTTAAATTCCATCATTACTTAAGAAAATGGCAACCCAACTCAAAAAAAATGCATCAGCTCTAATCCAGCATCCTGCATCCTGAGTCTGATTGGAGTTTGCAAACTTGTAAAATGGGCTGAAGACTTGGAATTTGGACACCAAGTCCAATTAATTTCACTTGTATGTTCTCAGCGGCCACCTGCAACCCAAAAAAAAAACTTTGTACAAATGGATAGCTGCCATGCTTTTTATTCAACCCTAACATTGCTCACTCTTTGCTCTTCTTGTTTTCTGGCAGTCACCTTTTTTTATTTTATAACTTTGTAGAGACGGATTAGGTGAAATTAACTATTCGTCAGGCACCAAATTTGTCTTCCAATGAGTTTGCAACAGAATTGCCTGCCTCCTTAGGAGTTCAAATAAACTTATGACACCTTTACCTCGAAGGCAACTTGTTTTGGGGCTCGATTCCAACTTCTATTGGAAACTTGTCATCCTTAAAAACTCTAAACCTTTGGAAGCAACGATATGAAAGGATATATTCCCGAAAGTTTAGGGGCAACTCTCTGAGCTAGTTGACCTGGGATTGTCTAAGAACTCATGAGAAGACATTTTAACATAAACTCATTTGATAAATCTCACGAGATTACAATGTATTGATCTGTCCATAGATCAAGATGTCACTTAGTTTCGATGTGACTTATGAGTGGATTCCTCCTTTTCCAGCTCCACACAATTTACAGTACAAACTGTAACCTTTCTGCATGGCTTAAATCTCAGACTGAGTTACTGAATTTCACCTTTAGCAGTACCAAAATCTCAGATATTTTCCAAATGAATGGTTGTTGAACTTATTTTCCAACATCGTACATGTCGATTTATCTCACAACCAAATCCGGTGAAAGCTTCCATCCCAACTCAAATTTATATCATATAGATTTGAGTCATAATCAATTTGAAGGTCCACTCCCACCTTTATCTTTTAATGCATCTGTCCTCAATCTCGAAAGCTATAGTTTTTTTCGGGCCTATTCCTTCAAATTTCGGACAACTGATGCCCCAATTAGAAATTTTGCATCTTGCCGAGAATCACTTAAATGGTACAATTCCATCCTTTCATTGCAGCATGAAAAACTTATCAATCTTGTCCCTAACGAGCAATCGGTGTAATATTCTGTGTTCAATGGGTGTCCTGAGTTCTCTTGTCATATTGAAGATGAACAACAACAATTTTGGCGGCAAAATTCCTTTGAGTTGAAGAATGCAACTTCTTTGTGCAATATTGATCGGGGCAACAAATTTACCGGAAGTGTTGCTTTATGGATCAGATTACACTTCTCCGAGTTGTCTACGCTACGTTTGCTATCCGACTTTTTAAGTGGACATATCCAGCGCCATAACAAACTTTCAGGGACATTCCCAAGTGTTCGAAGAATTTGACTGCTTTGAGATTATTTCCATACCATAATTATACAGTGCCTACATATTATGATGTGCAAACAACAGTCATGGCAAAGGAAGTGTACTTGTTTATTACAAGATTGCTTTGAAATGGGTGTATAACATTGATCTTTCATCAAATAATTTAGAAGGAAAAATTCTTGAAGAAGTGACCAGCCTCATTGCAATGGGGACCTTGAGCTTGTCAAGAAATCAGAAGAGGGAACATTCCCTCAATGATTGGAAATTTGCATTGGTTGGAACTCTTGATCTCTCACACAATCGCCTTTCCAGACAAATTCCTTAAAGTTACTCCTCTTTAACATTATTGGCTCACGTGAACTTGTCTTTCAACAACTTGGCTGGAAGAATTCCTTTGGGCAACCAACTCCAGATGATTGATGACTCATCCATTTATGAAGGCAATCCATCACTCTGGTGGGGTTCCTCTTTCAACGAAGTGCCCGGGAGATGAAACACCTAACAAACTGCCTTTTTGCTCTAGTGATGCAGGAGATAATAAAGTTGACAGCGATGACGGAAAGCTTTGGTTCTATGTCAGTATCAGACTCGGGTTCACCACAGGCTTTTGGGGTGTTTGTGGCACATTACTCGTAAGGAAGTCATAGAGGTATGCCTATTTTCCTTTCCTTGATGATATCAAAGATAAAATAGCATTAGCAATTGCATTGAAAGTGGCTCGGTTGCAAAGAAACTTTAGATTCGAAAGAAAAAAGTTTATTCCTGCTGAAATTCAAACACTTCAGATATTTACTGAACTCATATAGTACTAATACCATGCGTGATGCTTTCTATCGATCTTATAATGTGTAATAAGCTACTAGGACAGGATGTGTTCTGATTTCTTCTACTGATGAATATCGTACTTTTAAGCACTTCAGTTGTTTGCTGTGATTAAGATTTAACTTCAATCGATTGCCAGACGCTTGAAATTCAAATGCGATACGGATGAAAATCAGTGATAGAAAAAGTTGTTAAACAGTTCAATACTCATAACCCAAAACTTGTGAAGTGCAGCACAAGACTCAAGTCCGGATACTGCTGTACATACACATCTTAATCATAACACTTGCCGTTCTCACCAGTTTGCCCGTAAGTTTTTTATTTCTTTAATTTATTCTACCATGTATTGTTAAGATTTTAAGATTGTCAAGCGTGATCTGAACCCTGCATGACCATGGATACCAAAATCGTATGTCCATGCATGCATACGTTCTGGCTCGCACAGAGATTATTTGAGTAAAATTTTGTAAGGCCTCGGAACCAATAGTTAATTATGTAAATATTGACCTCAAATTCAACATTTGCCCTGTGAAATTACCTCAGATGGCTAGCAGTAGGCTTGTTTGCTGCTAAGAGCATGAAGGTCTATTTGATCAATGCCCTGCTCTTTCTTCTGCTCCATAAGCACCAAAAGATACACAAAGGTACCATCAATAGAACCCGAGTGTAACCAAGACTGCTCCAAACGGAGAAAAGACAAATAAAGATACAAATAAACCAGAATAATATGAAGGAATTACTAGAAAAAAGATACAAATAAAGGAATGATACCTATGTTAAGAAGACTCAAGAATACCTAAGTCGTATAGTCCTGACGCTAGGATCATGTGTCTCGATCCTAACTCTTGAGGGGGCGCAAAAACCGAAAAGGTGAGTGGACCATAATTTATAATAATACTAATGATATGAAAACATTTTATTTCTGAACATACTAACCCCCTGTTTTGAAAACACATATATAATACTACGTATAGGTTTTATGAAAAACCCTAGCATGCAAGGAAAAACGTTTATAAAACATGTTCGAGTAAAACCATGCTAAAAAATGTTGAAAACACCACCCGAAGGAAAATCCGTAAATCTCCTCAATACTGTACTCTCTAGGGGTATCATAGTCGCCTGAAGGCAGTACATGTCAATCACCCAAAGGTGAAGCTAAAAAATACCTGTCCATCATCCGAAGGTGAAGCTGAGATACCTGTCCATCACCTAAAGGTGAAGTTGAAATACATGTCCATCACCCAAAGGTGAAGCTGTTTAACATATCATAACATCCACACTAAAACTAGTCGTGGCTAATAAAGTTGTCCGACACCGCTTTCGACGGTGAAGCTAGGGGTATGTCATAAATCATATCTCACTCCTCCATCATCTGTGTCCTATGGCCATAGAGATCTATACCCATGGTGTGTGGATGTGCCGTATGATAACCCACTAGATAAGTACTAAAACATATCTCAAAATCTCATATCAAATCCGGAGCTTAAAAGCTCAAAGCCTCATCTCGTAATTCCATGAGAATTCATCCTTGTAAATCTGTAATGTAAATCTTATCCAAAATTCGTAGAAATCAATATATTCAAAATCCATAGAAATCCATATATTCAAAATCCAAAATTCGTATTCATTCATAAAACATAATTTTGATGATTCATAAATATAGAAATCCGTAACGCATAATCTAAAACATACTCGCAATCATGAAATATGAAATACATGCTAGGCTAATATTTTATAAAAATATATAAGTTAAGAAGGGGGTCCATTCACTGATTTTATTGCCCGAGAACCGCTCGAACTAGTGAGGATGATGTCACTTCCCGCCAACACGCCTAAACACAATTAAGGACCTTTTAGTAAAACTCTACTAAAACGTTATAATTTAGGAAAACGAATGGCGGATTTAGATTCGGCACATAGAAAAACCTAAGAAGAGACCTCAAGTTTTTCCCCGGAAAATCGAACTACTCCAAAAATTCCCAAATTTTATAGGAATGAAGATCTCGGTGAGTGGAGCAAGTTTTATACATGTGACTAGGGCTAATTTGGTTGGAAAAAACTCCAATTCATCTCGAACTCGCCGAAAACCTTAGAAAGGGTGGCATTCTGATTTGACTTCGCCGGTGCTCCGCCGCCTACAAGGTTGTTTGGGGTTTGTTCTTGGGCTCAAGGAGAGTCTAATGGTGGTGGTTATCGATGGTGAGGGTTGTCAAAATGATGAATCGCTGTTGGGGTGTTCGTCGCACCCACCGGTGAGGTTCTTCATGGGGTTAAACCTAGTCGAGTTTGGAAAAGAAAGGAAGAGAGGAGGCCGGGATGATGAATGGTGGGGGTGGATGGTCGCGATTCACTGGAAAAATGATTGAAATCGTGACAGAAACTGTGCAGGAAATCGGTCCAAAGTTAGGTCAAGAACCGGGTCAAAGGAATCCGGTGTTTCACTCCTATCTCATTTCCCCTC